CGGCCCGCTGCAGAGGTTGCCTCTCAAGACTACAATTCAGGGAGCAACAGAGCCCCCGTATTTTTAGTCTAGGCTATTCCCGGTTTGCTCGCCGCTATCAAGGGAATCCTCGTTGGTTTCTCTTCCTCCGCGTAGTTATATGCTTAAATTGGGCCGGTGCTCCCGCCCGACCTGAGATCAAAAGGCAAGGCCCGACGTACCTCCACAGCTCGAGGCCGACACCCCCAACCGCAAGCCCACCTCAAGCCGATGGGAGCTTACGGAAGGCGGCGACCACACGAACCGGAGGGACGACCTTACGTGCCGTTTTCAGGGAAACGAAGACCACCACCCGTAAACGGGTCCTGGAGGGCAACAAGAGGGTGGAGCAAAACCAGAGCCCCTCAGGCCCGCTCGAATGCTCTCCAATTCCCTTCCACTTTAGGCTATCGACGCTCTCCAAGTGGGAAGCGAGGGAAGCCACGACCACGCACTCCACCACTCTCCGAAACGGAAGGTGCTGASGTCGTGAGGAATCCAATGATGCTCAGGCGGGCGTGCCCTCGGCAGAAGCCTTGGGCGCCACGTGCGTTCAAGGTATCGATGGCTCACGGATTTCTGCAACTCACATTCAGTATCGCATTTCGTTGCGCTCTTCATCGTTGCGAGGGCCAAGATATTTATTTGCCGAGAGTTCTACAATATGGTGTCGTTCCGAGAGGACCGACCCCTCAACCAGAACAGAAGGGGGCCGTCAACCCGGACAGCGACAAATCAGAGCAGGTACATCAATAAGAAGTTGCAAAGCCGTCGCCACCGCCCGCTGCCACGGCCCCGTCCGACCCCCCGTTCGAGGGCCAGGCAGGGCACCAGGGAGCAGCGGGGCAACGAGGGTGCAAGCGCTGTCTCCTCCACCCCCCCACCCGACACCGCCCCTTTCACGACCAAAACCCTCCCCCAACGGCCCTTCACCCCGAGATTCAAACCACCTCGACTATGTCGACGACGCCGATCTGTCCGGAAAGGAGAACCCCGTTGGGAAGGAAGGCAGGACGAAACGGGGAGGGGCCGAGGACCCCGCAACACACCCCACCCCTAGCCTCTACCACGACCCTCGATCCCCAAACAAGCCACAAGCTCCGCACGAAGCCGAGGTYGAGGCCGGGATGGAAAGGAGGTCTGGACAAAGCTGAGACGGGAAGGAGCGGGGTATGCAGGCCAAGGACAGCCGCCACCACCCGACATCCCGCCCCTGACCCTCCCGCAGGGCTGTCAGTCCCCGGACCAACAGCCATCCCGACCAGAAGTCGAGAGTGGGGCTGGGCCGAGGTAACTACCTGCGGAGGCGAGACGGGATGAAGGGGGAGCAACGCCACAAAGCCCCGGACCCTGCCCACTCCCTCCACCCTCGACCTGCACCACGCTCCCCTCTGCGCTGGGCCAGCCGCCAGGTGCGCACTAAGCCCAAGATGGTGCTGAAACGGAAGAGAAAAGCGGATGCAGGGAGGATGGGGGCAAAGGGCGGCGGAAGGGCGAGCAAGCCAGCGTCCCACACCCCGAAGATCGGCCRTTCACGTGTCAATGATCCTTCTGCACGTTCACCTACGGAAACCTTGTTACGACTTGTCCTTCCTCTAAATGATAAGGTTCAATGAACTTCTCACAGCACCCCCAGCGGCAAACCGCCGAGATCACMGCAATCCAGACACTTCACCRGACCATTCAATCGGTAGGAGCGACGGGCGRTGTGTACAAAGGGCAGGGACGTAATCAGCGCGAGCTGATGACTCGCGGTTACTAGGCATTCCTCGTTCAAGATCGATAATTACAACAATCTATCCCCGTCACGATGAACCTTAAGAAGGTTACC